GCAGTACTGGGGTTGGAACTCAGGGCCTACACCTCGAGCCACTCCACCAGCCCTCTTCTTGTGAACGGTGGGTTTTTTTGAGATAGGGTCTCATGAACTATTTGCCCGGGCAGGCTTCAAACTGTGACCCTCCTGATCTCTGCCTTCTGAGTAGCTAGGATTACAAGTGTGAGCCAGTGGCCACCAGCTAAAAAATTTGAAAGAAGCGTTAAAGAGAAAGGAAAATAAGTAAAGACAGCTACACAGGCATTCTGTGCCATGGCTGAAGGATGGATGCACTCTGACTTGTCTAAATGGCTCACTCAAGGACATCAGTGAGGTTTCCAGAAGCAAGCTGGTTTGATATGACTACCATGTTACGCTGTCTGACCCAGCAAGGCTGTGTTTGGCAAGAGGGACCAGGAAAGCACAGCAAAACATAGCATGGCGAAGAGCATCAAAGCTGACAGCAGTGAGAAGAGGCAACTCACCCAGATGTGCTGAAGGTCCTTGCTGTTGACGGGGTAGATGATGCAGTTGGTGCCGATGAGCTTGACAGCGCAGTCAATGTTGACATCTATCACTGTGCCACACTGACTGTCCTGGAGGAAGGAGGAAGTGTCCACGCAAGACCACTACAGTACACCCCTGCCCAGATAGCCCCAGGTGAACCCCCACCAGAGCTGGGCAGCTCCCGGCGTAACAGAGTACATGGAGCAGGCTCAAGTTCCCAGATGGCTGCCCTAAGGCCCAGGCTAGGAGTGGGAATATGGGAACTCACGGTGGAGCGCATGTGCCGGACCACATCCCGGGGCACCACAGAGCGGTCCTCTAATTTCAGCTGCAAAAGGAAACATAGGTGAGAGGAGTGCTCTGAAGCAACCACAGGATGCATTTTTTTTCCAACTTCTTTTGAAGTGTATGCTCTGTATCAGCAAGTGCATAAACCTAAGCGACGGGCCCAAAGCATTTTCACAAACTGCACACACCCTCTCCCCAGCATACAGACCCAGAGCTAGAATGTATGCCCCTAGAAGCCTCCCAGTGCTCTTGCAGTCACTGTCTCCCACCAGAGGCCAATGCGAGGCTCTTTGGGGTATTCTTGACTATTGAGAAGTGCAGCTGGGGGATAGACCACAAAAGGCTTCACTCTATGGAAGACTTAACAGTCCATCTACAAGAGCAAACATCTGCTATGAGTTAAATCCTTTTCTACCTTCTGCAAGTGCCTGCTCTCTGACCCCAGCTGATCAGTGATGAGGAGTGGGTGGGGGGTGAGCAGGACACTGGGCTGTGCTGGGTCACCCTGAAGTCAGGCTATCACCCGACAGACACCACCTTCTCATCTGGGTTATCCCTCCTTCCAGCTACAGCTGGCTCCTTATCTCCAACACTGCAGAGCCCTGGCTATGCTGAGTAACTCAGGATAGTGGCTGTGGGAACCTGGCCAAGGAAGGGCACAGGCACCTGACCTTTCCCTCTGTGAACCTCCAGCAGCTGCTCTTCACAGTCAGGGGCCAGTTAACAGCCAGGCCAGCCTGGCTCCCTGGACCTGGACTGCTCCTCCATAGCACTTCACTGACTTCAGAACAAAGGCTAGGTCTCTGTATCTGCGCCCTCTTCGAGACCCCAAACCAAAGGGGTTGGGAGAGCCAGACCTTCAAACTCCACCCAACCCAGTAACCCTCAGCAATGGCCTCTCTGCTCTCATACCCTGGGGCACGAGAGGTGACCACCATGAGAGCAGAATGGAAATGCCGAAAAAGGAAGCTGATCATTCAAGGTCCCTGAAATCTTGGCAATGACAACTAAAACAAACTCTTTTAGTAGGATGTGACTTACAACAAATGGAAACACTGAACCCCACTATCTACTAGCAGTGCAGAAATCCCCACAGAAGGTCTGTTCCAGATGACGACAAGCCTACTGGTTCAATTGGGGTTCTCCAGTCAGATGCTGAGAAACCTGAAGCAGCCACACTCCCTTCTCCACATGCAAAACTGGGACCCTGGCAACCATCTCAGGGTGGCTGCAGCGGGATCATCAGACCATGGTGCACAGCATACAGTAGGTGCTCAAAATGCTGCTGTGATCATTACCTGACTCCACCACCCCTGTGAGGCTCAGGCTGGGATGCCAGTTCCCTTGTCTAACTCAAAGACTGCTCTGAGCTGTAATGCCGGGCACCCAGATCTTTGCTCTGGAACATGCATTTTCTGTGCTGCCTCAACCTACCTCAACCCCTCTCTCAGTTCAGACTTCAAAAAGCCATGGGAGTGTGTGTCGGCGGGTGTGTGTGTGTGTGTGTGTGTGTGTGTGTGTGTGTCTAAGCTGTCACAGGATCCAGAAGCTGGAAAAATTAAAGGGGAGAGGGGCCCTGAGGAAAGCCAAGTCTGCAGATCACATCTCCTGCTGGCACTTGTCTGGCAGTGGAAGGCACAGTGGCAAAGGTGCAGGCCTCAACTCAGGGTGGCTTCCCACAGCACACCATTCAGCTTCATGCACAAAATGCAAGCTCTAGCTCTGAGGCCTAGGGGCAGGCAGAGTCTTGTTCTGGGGAGGGTTCCTGCAGTGAGCACTGCCTCCTGTGTGGCTCTCTACCAAGACTGTGGCTCCTGACCACTTGGAAGCTGGGGCTATCAGCTTAAGGGGCTTTGTAATTCTTCCATGACAAGGATTTACATTTCCCCAGAACCTGTGAGTGTTAGGAGCAGGGTGGAAGTGAGACGCAGGGAGAAGGGGGCATCATGCTGGCTACACTCCCTTATGAATTCCAGAAAATGGACCAAGGTGTCTGGAACAGCAACTGCCAAAGATCTCTCTCATCCTTCACGACTTTCCCTCCTAACTCTGTGTCCCCCCAACATTGGGCATTGCCCCTCCAAACACACCTTTGCTCCTCTGTCGGCGTGCCACTGCCCTGTATAGCTTTCTCAGCCCCACCTGCGCTGCTTGCTTTGCAAATCCTTTTGGTGCCCCTATTCTGAAAGGAGCTACTGTGCTCCTCGGAAGCCCAAGAGCCTCCCAGCTGTTTTTAGTTTTCTTTTCTTTCTTCTTCTTTTTTTTTTTTTCCCCAGTATTAGAGTTTGAACTCAGGGGCTCATGCTTGCTAAGCAGGCGCTCTACCACTTGAGCCATTACACCAGCCTTTTTTTATGTTGGGTATTTTTGAGATAGGGTCTTTTGAACTATTTGCCTAGGCTGGCTTTGAACTGTGATCCTTCTAATCTCTGCCTCCTGAGTATATAGGATTACAGGCATGAGCCACCAGTACCCAGCTCTTCCTCAGTTCTTAACATCAACACAACCAGGTGCCCATTGTGGGTCAAGCAGTTTTCTAAATATTTCATATGTCTCACCAAGGAGGTACTTCATTCTCACAACTGTCATTTCCATTTTACAGATAAGTAAACTGAGACAAAAAGAAAACTAGCAAGGTTACACAGACTAGACAGGAAGAGCCTGGCCTTGAACTCAGCAGCCTAGCTCTAAAGTCCTTTCTCTTAACCACATAAGAAATTGTCCCTCCCCAGAGCTACAGACACAGGAACAGAATAAACTATGTTTCTGGCAGGTCCACACATTCTCAAAGATAGTAAGTCTTCTGGTTATAAAAGCAGTAAAATGTTTCTTGGGTGTTCGGAAGGCAGTTTTGGTGGCCACTGATTATAGATGTCACTGGGCCCTGAGCATCTGCCCGTAGAAGATCACAGCAGCTTGCTCTCTACATCTTCTTCCATCCTACAAGGTCACGTACCCAAAATCTCAGGTGCTAGACAGCACTGGGAAATGAACACTAGAGGGCACCAAGCCTATTCTAGGAAAACTGAGATTATAGAGCAAAACTGAGGCCTAAGAATCCTCACCCTGAATGTTTCCAAACCACTGTTTGAGGGTAGGGGGTAGTCAGGGGGGAGCTGAAGGTTGAGATGGGGCACAGATAGATTTCAACTGTCATTTTGGATTTTAAAATGCTAACAACCTCAGAATTGACAAGCTATTGTCTAACACCTCCTGGAGGGCCGAGCAATCAGGTTTCTAAACAGTAAAAAGGCAAGAAAGGTAAGACTCCAAAACAGTAAGACTGGCTCTGTGCAGGAGGGTCTTGGGTGGTTCAAAATGAACATGGGTCACTTCGGACACGTGTGACAGCCTGCCTGGTGGGACCTAGGCATACAGTCTCGGGGCTTCCTCTGGAAACAGGAGACTCTGGCCATCTGCTGAGGGAGGAGAGCGGGGCTCTAAGGAGTCCTCTGTCTGACCTAGCACTTTAGGTACCAGGCTCCCAGGAAATCAGGCCTTCTCTGCCAAGCCTCCACTCCAGGGCAGGGGTGGGGGAAGCAGAACAGATGCAGGTCAGGTGATGTTTAGAGCCAAACAGAAAAACAAGCCAACATGGGAGCTGGGTACTTGGGTGTTATTTTAAATGAATGGTCAGGAAAGGTCAGTCAGGGGTGACATTTGACCAGAGACCTGGTGAACAATGGAGTTAGCTTTCCAAGCAAAGACAAGAGTGGCTGTACAGACGCCAGGTGGAGTGTCTAGAGGCTGACAGGGCTTCAAGAGATGGGGAAGAGTGGGGCCAGGTCATTCAGGCCTTGGAGATTCCATCCCCAGCAGGGCGGAAGTCCCTGAGAGCCCTGAGCAGAGGTAACGCAATGGAATCGTTTGGCTTTTGGCAAAGAAGACAAGACTGGCCAGTTCAGTGATTTTCACCTGGGAGTCACTTTGCTCCCCCAAATGACATTTGGAAATGGTTGGAGACATTCTGGGCTATCAGCACCGGGGTGGGGGGGGAGTCAAAGGCTTGAGGTGAGAGCACTGTTGAACATCTTACAATGCACAGCACATCTGCAACAGCAATGGCAGATCATGAGCTTCCAAGGATCTCCCTCTGGATACATTTTTTTAGCCCTCCCCTCTTTATTTGCTTTCTTAAATGACACATAAAAATTGTGTATTTTTGTGGAGTACTGGATACACTCTGAAGGCAGAGCTGAGGCTGTTGGCACTGAAGAAGGCCATCTAGTTCTGCTGTCCCTGTGCCTGAAGGACTTTGCTGTGCTGCCTGCCCAAGGGCCCAGACCACTGCCTGAGGCCCCATCTTACTGCAGGGGCACCCGGTGGCACCTAGATGTGGCTGCACCACAGCATAAGGTGGAAGATAGTGTCGGTACACATATATGTGCTACTCTGGCTGAGAAATCCAGCTCAGCTTGGGGGATGAGAGGAAAGCCATTGAACAGGAACAGTGTGGAAACCTAGGATCAAATCTTTTCCAGTGCTTCCCACAGATGACAGGCTTGATAAGACTGCATTGTCTTTAAAGAATTTATAAGAGACTAGGGGTGATGGCTCACACTGTAATCCCAGCACTCAGGAAGCTGAGGCAGGACGATCTAAAGTTCGAGGCCAGCCTGGGCTACACAGCAAGATCATGTCTCAACAACAATAAAATAAAACAAGAAAAGAATTTATAAGAATCTGGCACGGATATGGGATGGGGAGGGATGACTCACCCCCACACCCCAGCGTGCATGCAACATAGTGGCCTGTGAAGCTACTTATGCCAGGTTGGAAAGACAATACTGGTGTGGACTTCTAAAAAAGCACCAGAAATTCTAGAATGGACTAATCCCTAGAGTAGCATTTTTCAAACCATAGGCTGTGACCCTTTAGTGGGTCACAGGATCAATTTAGTGGGTCAACACTGGAGAGAGAGAAAGAATATCTGCGTGCATTACATTCATGTAGAAAGGATAAGCGCTATTCTGAGAAAATCTTCTCAGTGGTAATGAAATGTACATGTTTCCTGGATCACATTGGAAACTGTTTAGTGTG